TATTGATTGAAGTGTATTTCACAGATTGAAATCATGAGTCAATTGAAGCTAAACCACCATGGAAAACCTGGAAGCACTGGACGGCCGTTTCGTCCTAATATGGGACTCCTCATCAGTGCGCATCCACGATCCCGCACCCCAATTTTCCATGGTGGTCTAGCTTCAATTGAATCATGATTTCAATCTGTGAAATTCCTAAAATCTCCACAAACCCCTTCTGAAATGTATTTATTAAATATCTGTGTCAATCTATGCATAATACAATCATTCGTTAGCCGAAATGATGATCAAATATTTAATTATCTTAGTTAAATATCTTAATTGAAATATAATCAACTAATTTTCCTATGCTTTATGATACCAGAAAAGAATCAACTGTTTGATCTAATTTATTATTAAGAAGATTTTATTCAATATGTGCTCTTGTAAAATGTAAAAAGTATTCTAGGAATTCAAGAATGTAAAACAGACTATTATAATTAAGTTTACCATGATATTTCAGCCATGTGTTATGTCTGAAAAAGAAAAAAAGTTATTCAGTTTAATCTTTAAACTTTTAGTTTATTGTATATAAAACAAGTGAGCAATGGTAATAAAAAGAGAGCATTAAATTAATAAATGTATACATAGTAAGGTTAATCATATATGATTGATAAAGGCTATAAGATCTTGGAAATTTTTTTTAAAAATTTAATCGCATTAGAAGGGTTTCTGTGGAGATTTTAGTCATTTCAATGGTTGAGATCATGAGTCAATTGAAGCTAGATCACCATGGAAAAACTGGAAACATTGGACCGCCGTTTCCTCCTAGTATGAGACTCTTCAGCAATGCGTTTCCACGATCCCATCTATTTGATAGATTTAAGGATGTATATAAATCATTGAATAATGTGAATAGAGTAATACCAAAAACATGATGATTTAAAAAAGATATAATAATATCATTCATTGTAGTCATTAATATTAAATATTTTGATTGAATATCATAACTGTTACATGAATTGAATGTAGATTATCTTTATTATTATTTTGAAAAGAACAACATTGTACTTCATTATTTGGCATTATATTTAAATAACATTTAGATGGTCTAATAAACATATACCTATCTAGTACAAATCATTCTATAAAAAGAGAAAACATTGAAAAAAAACACAGTAACTATGAGTCATTGAAATATATATATATATATATATATATATATATATATATATATATATATATATATATATATATATATATATATTTCCCATTTTATTTACACCCAACGTTTTATAACCTATATATATATATAGTTTTTCCCAACAGAATGCCAAATTCTGATGACGTCAAATATATTATAAATTGCGTGTAATGAATAGATACGTGTACTGAATCACATATTGACAGATGAACAATTATGCTTGCTATATATTCACTAGTTGAACAGTGAATAATAATAATCATTCAAATGACCTAGCAGTTCTTTTAAAATTAACTACTTAAAATTGACACTAAAAACAATACTATTAATTAATATTGCAATTTATTGGTTTTCATATCATTTCTAATGGTAAATTCAAACTTTTGAAGATTTACCCATCAACAACAGTAATTCTTAGTTATATAACATTTAAAATGATAACATCATCCGGCTTGTCACTTATTCCTTGTTTATGAGTTTATCTATTACCTAGACGTACTCTTGTTACATACTATGAATTAATAAGATAAAAAGATCATGTCTTTCTCATTTTGAATATTCTCTTTTCATTGTATTATTTAGCTTAATCTATAAAACAGGGTAATAACACTTCCTTAAACTGGATAAATACAAGCAATCATATATTCTATTCACTTGATACAGCTAACAACATCATATACATGTGAAAACATTAAATTAAATAGTTCAACGAAAAACACATTTCAATCTAAGTATATCTTACGGGAGGTTAGTCGCTACCCGAAATACCGAGGTCGTAACATCACTGACTGACACTGTGAGTTTAAATCTAAATAGCGGTATAATTCTACTAAGGATTGTAAATACCTCTTTCTGACAAGTACCAAGCAGCATGAAATCTAGGTTGAGTTCCTTACAGATTAGCTTTAATTGTCTAACATTTAATAAAAATAGTCTATTTGTAGATAAATATATTGTACACCTATAAAATATGTGCAACGCATCTAACGAATATAAGTTTATATATTCGACTGTGTACCACTGTTTGTGAGATGCTTATTAGTATAAACTAGTTGCCCAAACCAAAGTAAATGAAGTGAGATTCGAACTCACGATCTACCAGTTGAAAGTCAAATGCATTGAATACCATATCGCCGATTTCCTTTCACAAACAAACTTCTTGTTGAAACTGTCGAGAGAAGTGAATAACCTCTCTATTATTGAGTAACTATGATGCAATCCAGTCACTCTTGATGGCGAAACTCTGGAACATGTAGGATCCTTCACATACCTGGGAAGCATCATCGATGAACAAGGAGGTTCAGGTGCAGAAGTAAAGACGAGGAATGGAAAAACAAGGGCTGCATTCCTACAAGTGAAGAACATATGCAACTGAAAACAACTGTCTGTCAACCTATATCAAAGTCAGAATCTTCAATACGAACGTCAACGCAGTTCTACTGTACGAAGCTGAAACTTGGAGAACTACTACAACCACCAGCAAGAAGGCACAAGTATTTATAAATGGTTGTGTACGCAAGATACTCAACATCCATTGGCCGGATACGATCATCAACAGACTTTTGTGGGAGAGAACAAACCACCTTCCAGCTGAAGAGGAAATTAGGAAAAGACGATGGAGTTGGTGGTTAGGACATACATTACTCAAATCATCAAACTGGATCACGAGGCAAGCCTTAACTTGGAATCCTGAAGGGAAGCGGGAAAGAGGAAGGCCAAAGAAGCAGATATGAAAAGGATGAATAGGAACTGGAAAGGAATGCCCAGGACAGGGTTGGATGGAGAATGCTGGTGAGCGGTCCATCACGAGAAGTAACAGGCGTAAGTAAGTAATGATGCTGCATAAGTCAACGTAAATCAAATCCAGTCAGTAACAATGTAGAACTTCGTGCGTACGTACATCAGTTCGAATTGCCATACCACATTAGCACAGAGATGAAGTAAATCAAAATCCAAAGTAAATAAATCCTCTGATGTTAAATCACACCTAGTCACTTCATGATTTCCGCCTTCAATAAGCTAGGATATGAATTTCGACTTAATGTTCTTAAAATAGTTTATTTTTCTTATCATGGCGAGGGATTGCTTCGCTATTTTACAATCAGGAACAATCGATAAGACAGAGTAGTTAAATACGACGGACTTAATCTTATTACCCGCTTTTGATTTGAACTAGCACTGAAGTAGTCTAATGTTTACGATTTGTTCTTAGCTATCGATTTGATTATTGCATTCATTGTAGAAATCAAATGTCATTCTATTACTTAACTACTAAATGTTATGAATTGAATATCTATGATTCTGCAAAAGCTCTAAACGCCTTTACCCTACACTTTTTTCCAATGTTAAACTGCCTACTGTATATTTTCTAGAAAAACGATTTTTTTTCTAAATGTATGGATTTGTAAAACTAGAGTTCATAGAAAATCTATAATCAATCGCATAATTACGTTTTCAGTAAACTGATGATACGTGAACTATCAAAACATTGTGGTTATCACAATTTAATATAATGCTTAACAATCATTATGAGTATATATGATTAGCTACAAGCTACGGTGTTCAAAACACGTTGAGAGAATTCAATAACTTAAAATTTTGCTAATCAATGAGTTTTGTGCCAAATTTACAGATTTTAAACAAGAAAACTGAGAATTTTTTTCAATAAACTCTTTGTCATTACTGAGTTACAACTAAATATAAAATTACCAGTGCATCCTATGAAACCAGCACCATTTTTGTTTGTAGGCCAGAATGTGAGCAACATATATTTTATAAAAACCAATAACATCGTGTAGATATCATTACATTTATAGACGAGTTAGTGATTCCGTAGCTAAATGATCGTGCGTTAAGTAGCTAAGCCAACAACACTCCTGAAATCAAGGAACGAATCGAGGGAAATTTCTCCTAAAATTACTAGTTTTCCACCCGTTTTAAGGTATGATCTCTAACCAGAAGGTCCACTTATCGATTTAAAATATGTAGATAACATAGTCCTAAATGGCGAAGAGATCGCCATGGGCTATAGTGCATGTGTTGCAATGTTGTGTTCAGGACTGGTCTGTGTCAACGCCTAAACTAATGATGGGCAGTGAAGTAGTTAAGCGCGCTGACTACTTCACGTACCTTGGAATTTCCATCAACCCTGGTGGATTGGTGTCTGATGAAAGCCCGACTAACTTTGGACAACTTGCATCGCTGACGGTATAGGAGAGGCGGGAGTGTAAACAGCCTAAAACTCCCTTTATTATCTTATGGCTGTGAAAGTAGAAGATATGTGTTAGCTGTAAGCTTTCAGTAATAGGTTTCTTGAGGTACCGTTCACGTTTCGTAGAGCGATTGGATGAAAAATTGTACGGTTAAATAAAAGATACTAGGCAAAAGTGCCAAATCAGTTGATGAGGTCACCAATTCTTATTGACTGTGATGGTTCTAGTACAAGTTACGTACGTCTAATCATTGTTCAACTCGAAAGACAATTTTTTTGGTAGAGAAGATGGAAGAAAGCTAGGGATGATCGAACCAATACATAGCATCAGTCTATGAAGTCACTGTTCGTAGATGAAGATAGAATCCATCATAAAGACGTAGATCTATCCACACTTTATCTTTATATCTTAATTTCTATTATTCTTTGGCACATACTTTTTCAAATCGTATTCTTAATGTTCAGCCTCTAATTGTCTACTTTACGATTTCAATTACTTCACTGTCCATCTTGTTAATTGCATCTAGTCGTGCTACTGTGATGTTATATTGGGCCAATGAATATTTGTGTTAAACCTATGTTGATTATGACTGAAAGCACATTACTAAATAAACTAAACCCTGTAATTATGTCAATAAAATTCAACTTCTTAAATTTGTGTTGAATAGCGACACTATTCACAACAAGATAAACAAAAGACAACAAAGAACTATGTGAGAATACACAAAGTTCATGGCCATATAACTAAGACAAAACTTTGGCACAGAGTATGATCACTAAAACACCAAAATATGAAACCAACGAAAAACTATACATATTTTTACTACAAATTCAAGTCGATTACATAGGTAAAATAATAAAATACAAATAGTATACTGATCCTTCTGTAAAAAAAGGAAAGAAGCACTATTAAAAGAGAAAAAACAGGACAACGACGCTGTTACATTTCACAATCATTCCCATTAAGGATTTAAATAGTAAATTATGTGAATTCTTAAAAATACACTTGACATCTGTACAAAATAAATAAATAAGTATTTGCTTAAGAGAAAAACAAAATACTATATTGAAACAGAAGTTGAACAACAATAAGTTAGTTAAATAAATATTAAAATGTAACTTTAACATGAAATTTCCTTGGAACACGTGAAATACGCCATGAATCTTTCTCTTCAAATTTACTGAACAATGGTTCAATTCGCATTGACTTTTTAGTACGTGATAATTTAGTTGGATCGCCAAATTTGAAGAAATTCGGTGCAAATTCTACTAACCATCTTGGATCGATTGTGGTTACTTCACGCATATACTCTTTAGTAGTCATAACTAGTTCATGATAAACAACCCTAAATGAAATGATTTAACAAAGAAAGAGTGTGTGTGTGAAAAAGTGTAATTCATATATATACGATGATATGAAGCATTTTAATAAATTAAATATTATTCTATAAGTAATTATTAGTATAAGGTGATTAAGATCTAAAAAATACTTAGGTTTTAATAAGCCTAATCTAATTGTAAATATCACGAATTAATGATTATTATTTCTTTTCTTTTTCTAATTATTATTAAAATTCATTTATACTATGAATTAGAGTGATATAAACTTATTATTTATAACAATTATCATATTCGATTATATTTCCCACCTTGAAATTTAATTACCTACCGACAAGAAACTAAGAGAGGTATCTCTAAAAAAACAAAACATTTATAATCTAAATCAGTGGATGATAACTAACAAAACATGAGAATATTTAAATTATATTTCTTATTAGTTACGTGTAATGATTTAATCACAGGTAAAAACAGAAGTAATTGATCATAATGATGTTTGGATCTAATTAAAGAAATAGAAACCTCTGAGTAAATCAATAATTGAATATTAATGCTTAGAATATATGAGAAGCTTAAGTCGTCATCACTATCGAAAAGTAGATTGGTGTCTATACCACCACATACAATCTACTATCTGGTTGTTAATGATTACCTTGTTAACATCACAGTATGTGGTTAAAAATACCTTGGACTAATATAAAATTTACAGGGAATTTCAAAAGTAAACAGACAATCCGCTAATTTAACTAAGATTTTTACAGATAATTGGTTGTAGGCAGTCGACAGAAACTCATAGACCTAGGTTTCGGAGCAATTGGAACTCGTCAACAAGACGTGCTTGTAATCTCGAGGAAATTAGTGCCTCTTATGGGATTCGAACCCGCGCCAGTCCCGTCTCGTACAGCTCATTGGTAAGGCCTCTCAGACTACGAAACTTGATGACTAGTGGCGACATTGCAAATTAATTAATAGAATTCGATTAGTACTTAAAGGACTACACCAATATGGTCACCACTCAGTAATCAATCAATTGTAAGATATGTACTATGTGACAACTCTTAATTACCATGAGTTCAATTTTAGAAAACATACAGAATCCTATCACCGCCATATCATTTGAATCTACATGATATCAACTACGTATGCAAACAGCTTTTAACCGTAATTTACATGACATAATTATACATATTTTATATAATCATATGTACAGTAAAAAAAATCATAAAATTAATCTTCTCTTAGTGATCGATAATTTATTCATCCTCTCTTTTAAGCAGTCCTATTTTGTTAACAAAACGTTGGTAATAATAATAATAATATTTCATGATATATGTATATAAAGAAAAATTTAATCTCCCCTCAAATAAACTCAAGAATTATTCTCATTAAAAGGAAATATACATACACAGAATTAAGTGATTACTTAATAATTCTACTACAAAGACCACCACTGTTACTTCACAAGTTGATGTGTGTATCAGTACATAGTAGAACAAAAAACATTGTTTATTTATTTACTTATTTATTCGCTTTTTACTCTTCTTGATGCTCTAGTTTACTCCTTTCTCATGAGTAGTAAAAAAAGAGGAGGGGAAGAGAGTTAACAATTTAATGTCAACAAAATGGGATAAGATTTCTCCAATTTACATTATACTCTGCACCTTTGTGTTCTATTGTTTTGTTGAATAGATTTAATAATTTCCAACCTAAACATATTTATATAGATTTATTAAAACTAGTTCTACACATCCGATGTTATTGGTATCGATGGTTACGTGGAAATAAGTAGAACAAAAAAAGGAGAGAAAAATAATTTAAAATATGGATATTTAGTAGGTCATACATTTATAACCTGAATTAAAGGGTGCCTTATATATTTCATTCATTTATACATTAAGGCAAGAAATTTTATGATATGCCTTACATGTTTTTCCTGCATGCATTTAAGGGAAATACATAACGGTTGAATTCATGAGTCGATCTAGGCTAGACCACCAGTGAAAACCTGGAAGCACTGGACGGCCGTTTTGTCTTAGTATAGGACTTCTCAGTAGTGGGCACCCACGATTCCGCACGTGGGATATATATATATATATATATATATATATGAAGTTAAAATATGCACACGTTTGATTTATACGGTTTTCTCTAGGACTTAAAAAGGAAACCTTTAGAACACATTATTGTAGAAAAAGTTAAATAGATGCATTAGCTCACGTTTTATTTTGAGAAATTAAGAATAAGAATAAATTGTTAACAGTATCATCAAAGAAATATTCAGTTAATTTTAAGTAAGATATAGTAGCAAAGAGTGAATCTACAAAACTAAACGAATTTTATCTCAAGCTAACAATCACATTTATCAAGAACAAATCCAAAAAGTCTCGAATCAGATCAAAATCATTAATTATGTTTAGCTTTTCTTTTTTGATAAAAATACAATTCAGTATCAAACTACTACTAGATATAAGCTAGGTAATATGTTATGCAGTGTGAAATGATAATTAGATTAAGTAACAGTAGATTTAATAATCTGAAACCCTAAAGTTCGATTTCAATATTTATAAAAATTTAATTGTTTCACTATACATGACTACTGCGCATCAAAGATACGTACAATTGAAAACCTGAGATTTTCTTAAATTATTACTAATTAGTAAATGACTATAGAAGTCGAATACTGTTGTGTAATTTACGCATTTTTCTAGCTAAGCATTTCACTAAATTGTCAGTGTTGCGAATGGCACAGAAAGAGTGATTTTCAACTGCCTTTCTGTATACAATAACAAGATTCTATATCATTAATGGAACAAAGGCATTAAATCAATTTAACTTCTGTTAATTGGAATGTGAATGTCTATTCCATACATTTTTTTCAAAAGATTTAGATGGAAATGTTTAGGAAAATTCAACAGAATACATTCAACTTTTTATCTAAGAGATAGCATTGATGTCTTAACAATGCATCACACATTTGTATAGACAAAATCAGTAATCGAATAGCTGCAATACAACGTAGAGAAACACTGAGGGAAGAATGAACTTACCAATCTGGTTGTCTATTAAATAATGCAGATGATGGATGAATATAAACAACTTGTTGGTCAACCAGCGTACGATAACCTTCTTGTGGATCTTTCTTTGCAGCATTACGAAAGAATCCAGACAAAATTGCTTTCTGTGCTAATGCAGTCTTTTTACCGCATGAAACTACATCAAGTTTATGTCTAAAATAAGCAAAAAAAATATGACGCATATTACATAAGACTTTCAATTTCGTATACGACACCCCCGCAGCGAGGACTTTCCTGGCAGCGGCTGTATACGCGGTGGGCATGAGAGAGCATTTCAAGAACAGTGGACTCTCTCCACTTTCGGTTGTGCAAGAACATTTGGGGGCGAATGTTCGGCACTTTAACCGGGTTGGTTGATATAGAGGATCCTTTCTAGGAAAGTTGGAAAATCCTCATTCCAAACCAACGGTGCACATGGGCTCCAGGACCCTGAACAAACAAATGACGTATGAATCCATTGTTGGTCACTCGCTACCATGGGATTGCATCTCCTTGATGATTAGACATGTAGGTCAAAGGATCAAGGAGTTGCCCCTTAAGAAAACCCCGCGCTTAAGTCTGAGCAACAGAGCAGTATCGCGGCCCCCACACAAATCGAATGCCCAAGTGTGGCACATAAATATTTGGTGCCTCCTTTTACCAATATTTATGTGTTTAAATAAATAAGACTGAAACAACAAAAATCATAGCTGAAAATAAAGTTGATGCTTACAATTTAACAAAATTATCAATAGATGGTTATGGAAATTGAGTTTAAATTGATATCGTGAATGGATGGATGTAAGACCACGTGTGGGACCGCGGATGCCCACTGCTGAGGAGACCCGTACTAAGACAAAACAGCCATCCAGTGCTTCCATGCTTTCAGTGGTGGTCTAGCATTTATCGATTCATGATATTAATTTAAAATTTAAAAAATGATACAATACGTGATAAATATCAACTAAACAAACATAGAATATGCTCCCTGAAATTCTAAGTATTATTTATAAACGTTTTTTCCTTGACGAATAAAGTTTAACATCATTAACTTTCTTGTGTTTTTCCTAAGCGGATTATTGAATTCGCCATAATATTTTGTCAATTTCCTACATATAATTTATTGTAATCAATGTTAAATCGGTTTCAACCTGTATTGATATGTCTTTCAATACAAACCTTTTCGATTCCAAACGAGATCAGAAACAGAAAATAATATTTAGGTAGTTAAATAATGTCGACCTTACTCTGGGGATTATTTGCCATAAGTTTTCACGAAGAACTAAAAAAATAAAACTTAATCCAGAAAAATAACAACAGCAGTTTGAATTAAATCCCTATTCAGATAAACCGTAAATGTAACAAAGAAACACATGATAATGTCTTCAAATAACTGAAACATTTCTAAACAATACGAAACAAAACAAGAATAGGATTGAAAGAACAAGATTTATGGTATATCAAAAATATGTGGAAAAAACCATGAATTGAAACGAAAACCAAGAGGAAAATGGACTAATATTAGGTGCACAGTAAACTTGATGAATAAATGTTGTTCGACATTGAGCACTGCTATGCAACACAACATTGATTATGTTTCAACAACTACTGATCAGTTCGTGATAATCGAATCTATAGAACAAAATTCCATAATCTTCACAAAACCCTAATCCTATGCTAATAACTACTGACTTTCACAGTAGAATCTTCACAAATTCTCATACTGGCAATATTGACTTACTAATAACAATATGTTATAGTAGAATTAATCCAATAATAAAACAATAAACAGTAAATACCTACCTGTCCATAATACCAAGCAATTGTTTACGTACATCTTGAGCACGTTTTAAAGTTCTTGCTTGCAGAAAATTGTCGTAACACCATGGTGCAGAGAATTTATTATTCTTCCATGCATTGTATACAGCCAATAAAGTAAGGTGATCACCTTCAGGTTGATGAAATTTCGCTTTACGTTGATCAGCCAATTCAGTTTTCTCCTAAATTATTTTTTTAGCATAAAAAGAAATAGCTTATATATTTTGGGGATAGAAGAAAAACATTTTTGAAGCCAGTTTAAATTAGATACTTTAAGTGAGTAGAGAATATGATGATGTGTTATATATATACAAGGGTTTAACCAGTCAAGCATAAGCAACGTAGAACGTGGCACATATTTGCAGTGACCCAAGCTGTCACATCAAAATAGCATAATGGCTAGATGAAATTATTAATACAACTTTCAGAGTAGCGAAAGTAACGACATTATCAGAATTAACGGGGAACGTCGGATATAGGCAAACTAATTCGACAAGGTATAATGAAGTCGGAGAAGAAAAAGTATAAGATAAATTTAAAATGAAGAGTGAATACATCTGGCATATTATATTCGGCTACATGTCACATAACTTCCTCAACTATTGGTTACGATAATCGCAAGGACTTTTTATAACAAGATAATATGTAACTAATAACACAGCTTAATCTAATAGTCAATTACTTTATGGACTAATGTAAAGTATTAGCCTAAACACTTTAATGCTGAGGTAATTATGGAAATATACATAAATACTACCAACCAGATGGAACAACTTTGAATCATCACATGATATACAAATTGATTAGAATCTCAAGGAATGTAGGATTAATTAAACTAGTCAATCCATTCTCTTTATTTCACAATAATATTTAAAAACAAATGCCCTGGTAGGGCCGAGAGTGGGGAGAGTCTGCCCTCCCTCTCGGAATGCTCTCACACGACCACGCGTATATAGCTTCTTCCGGGGAAGTCCTCACTGCCCTCTCGTGGTGGGGGTGTTGTTTACGAAAATGAGAGGACGAAAAGAGAGTGTCCGGCGCTTTAACCGGATTCCAAACTAATGGTGCACATGGGCTCCAGTATCCTGAAGGAACAAATGGTGTATGTACCAATCGATGGTCACCGGCTACCATGGGACTGCATCTCCTCACGATGCTCCACTCCCTTGTGGATCAGACCTTCAGGTCGAAGGCTCGGGGTGTGGCCCCCTAAGATAACCACCTGCTCCGGTCTGGGCACCCGGGCAGTATCACAGCCCTCACACGAATCTAATGATTTATGTGGAGCATATCTACTTGGTGCCTCCTTGTACCAATGTTTATGTGTTTAAATAATAAATAATAAATACATAACTAATGGTTGATACATCCAAAACCAAGAATCAGTTTACACAATAAAACTAGAAAAAATGTTTCATTGATTTCTAATTCATTTTAATACAAACTACCAAAACAAGAAAAAAAGATTATACTAACCTTAGGACGATAGAAAACATTTTGAACAGATAACATTGAAACGACAGTTAATACTTCTTCAGAACATTGTAAATGCACTGACATAATTAACATTTTAGAAAGCATTGGTTCAAGAGGAAATTCGGCCATCTGAATTTAACAAAATGATGAAGAAAAAGAAAAAAATAGTGAAAAAAAACCGAAGAATAAATTCTTATAGTCTGTCAGCCAGTTCAGTCTTCGACAAAGTAGATCTTGCGAAAATGTATAACCGGTCAAGATGCCACAACAATATAGCCAAAACATGTGTAAAACATAGGGGGGAGAAGTAATATTCACTGTCATGTAAAGCTGAACATGAAAAAGTGTGGTTGAACAACGAATGAGACTGAAGGATAGAAAACTATAGACTAACTTCTCGCTATGTCACTCAATAGTTACAATTATTGATACCAAGTATCAATCAAAAAGTTTAAACTTTCTCGTATAACTCGGAGTGATAGTTAGTGATTATATTTTTCAATTACGCTGCCTCCAAATGTCTTTCATCCCACCTTAGATGCCAGTTTATTTAGCGATTCGAGATGTATCGCCTAAGCACGCGTAGCACATGTCCCAACAATCTAATCTGATCCAGAGTTATCAACCAACTTATAGACCCTACGAAGTAATCTTATTATTGTCAACGAGGTGCCTACACCAAGCACATGGAGGACTTAGAATACACCCACGTTCAAAGAATTTCATTCTTCTTATATGCTATAGTTGTGTAGGTTATTGAAGTAATATAGTAATATAGTGAGCTGCTATACAACAGACTCGCCATTTAAAAAAGTACACATACATTTCACCTGCGCTGCAGGTAACAGAAGTTGGCAAAAGCCGAAAAAGCTTTATCTATACCAAGACTACGACAACGAACAAATCACCAGGATGAACATGATGTGGTACGAACAACCAAACTGCATGGATAAAAGATTGAATGATAGATTAAATTGTGAACAATAGAAAATTCATAACTCAAGTTGATAAGGGAGAAAAACCTTGGATGCAAAAATATTTGAAGCAACGGTTTGAAGAATTGAATAATAACTTGGATATATAATCAGAATATTTCCCGTATATTTATGGTCAATCGATAGAAAGCATGATAGACAATCGGATTCTCTTAGTGTACTATATTCTAAAATAAATGTAATGGTCATTTCATTTGTTCAGTAATGTACGTTGAATGGTTAGTCCCTGTTACAACTGATCAATCATTGAGAAATAGCCAATACTAAGTTTACCTAGATATTAGCGTTGATTGAGTCCTACCACCCAATTTGGTGGTACATCTGGTCTAAGTGATTCGATATCGTATGCACTATCTTTTTCTGTCGAACAATTGGAAAAGTTTATTAGAAGGCTCTGAACCAATTTTTTCCGTTAACTCAACACTAGTCAGCAATTTCGTGAGTATAGACTGCCCCTGAGCCATTCGGTGTCACCAACAGAGAAATTACCACTGAATTATCCAGGTCACAACAGATCTATAGTAGTATTGACTGAGTAGTAGTGTTATGTTCTTTTCTTTAGAAATGTTAGAAAAACAATTCTACAAAAATAAATTTTGACATCATTTACATTACTTATATATAATGGTGAGACAGTAAATTATTCGTAGACAAGGTTGTGATTTAATAGTTGGAATTGCGAAAATTTACCAAATAAATTAACGGTTAACACTTTTGTGCTAACAAAGTAAACCGCATTGTACAAAAAAAGCAACAGACATCGAAGATGAAGTGTTTAAGATGAAAATAACTGTTAATTCAACGATTAAAATATGACTTCGTGTATATACATATATTTGTTTGACACCTTAGACAATACTTAGCTGAGGTAAACTTAAAAACTATTAGTAATAAATAGTTCAATACAAATAACAAATAATCTGAAGTTATTATTCAGGGAAATAAAAAAATTTCATTGCATAATGTACACAAATGCTACAAACTTTATAACAAAGAAATGGATTAACTGTAGCTAGCGATGAAAAAAAAGGAGTCCTTTTCATCCTATTTTGGACACTTCAGCCGAATGTGCCTGCGGTTGACACAAAAGGTGTTCAGTTTGAGTCCACGTGTAAACGTCGGTATTAGGATGCAGACAAACTCAGCGTATGAGTTCCAAACAAGACGAAATGAGCGTCCTAAATTCTCCTCCTAGACATAGTCCATCCGTTTGATAAAACTTGTAGCAAAGTAGCCATATTTAGACAAGCCATACAGAATGCACATATGCCATCAGACTGATCAAAATTAAGTCCTTAAAACCAACAATGGGTTAATTTTAACCCTTTACTAACAAATATATAAACAGTTAATATGAAAGTTGTATAAAAGCTTTACGATCTAACAAAAAAATTTAAAATTTGTGCACATGCTATACTGAAAGGTTCAATTTCACAAAAAATGATCACATCAAATAATTTTGATAATGAGAAGTAATGTAGTGCACATGCACGATTTTATTTCTTATGTGGTATTCATATCAGTAGTTAATGATGTGACGATTTATTTATTTATTTAAACACCAAATATATGTGCACCACACTTCATTATTCGATTTGTGTGACGGTTGGGATACTGTCCTGGCACCCAAACCGAAGCAGGTGGTTTTCTAAGGAGGCTACTCCTCGAGCCTTTGACCTAGAGATCTAATCCACAAGGCAGTGGGGCAACGTAAAGAGATGCAGTCGCATGGTAGCCGGTGACCAACAATAAGTTCATACGTCATTTGTTTATTCAGAATCCTGGAGCCCATATGCACCATTGGTTTGGAATAAGAGTTTTCCAGCTCCCTTAGGCAGGTCCTCCTTACCTATCAACCTGGTTTAAGCGCCAGACATTCGCTTTTTGTCTTCTCAATCTCGTAAACAACATCCTCTCTTCAAGAAGGTAGTGAGTAAGATTTCCATGGAGGTGGATGTATACTCTTGACCATATTAGAGAATTTCGAGAGGGAGAACGGACTCTCCCGCCCTCGGCTGAGACAATTCCTTCCTTATGTAAGTAACAGGAACCCGCAAAAATAACAACAAAATATTCACAAAAACAATATTTCATCAAAATTATTATTATCCATAATAGACCATTAATAAAAATGTACTGACTTTTTATTATTCTATATCCTAACAATAGTGTTTACTAAACAAATTCGCCTAGATTAAGACAATAGTCCAAATCTAGAGCATAATGATGTATAAAACTAGATCGACAACATAATACTTATCATCTAAAATGGTAACTAATGCTAATACATACACAACGGAGCATTCACCCACTTGTGTTTAAGTGTTCATATGTATATGTTTATGTGCGTGTGTATGGGTTCAAGCATACAAGAACTTCCATAAACTAGATTTCATAAACAGAAAAATTAAACAACAAGTAATTGATAAACAAACTAATAAAAGAAAAAAATGGGCATAAAACGAGAGCAATGGTAGAGAGTGACATTGGTACAGCTTACAAAAATTAGTTCGTCAAAATTAGGGGTTATATTAAAAAGAAGTTATAACTGGATAATATTAAAATTATTTTCATCCACCGTGCTTAATCTAATAATCAACCTTATTATCAATAGATATTGTATATGTATGAAAAGAATGATGATGATTTTCAATTTTACACACTTAAAAAACAAATGTCGAAAGGGATTAGAATAATAATGGCAATAATGATAATAATAACCCTGATCTTGAAAGCAGACTGTGATTACTATTGAATGATTAAAATATCAAATTTCCAAGAGGTGAAAAACACTAGAATAGCGAGTACCAATGGAATTATTAATCTTAAATTGAGATCATGAACCGATCAATGTTAGACCGACATTGAAAACTCGGGAGCATTAGACAGCCTTTTCGTCCTAGTATGAAACTACTCAGAAGTGCGTACCCACAATCCCGCAAGCAGGACTCTTCGGTCTCGCGCGTAAACGCTTAACATTGATCGGTTTGTTATCTCAATTGAGAAAAAATCAACAATCTTTACAATCATAAATTGGTCTTAAATTGTATAATAGAAAACAGTCTATTTTAACTAATCATGCAATGTTATAGATAACTGTGAGACGTAAAATTTAAAATCCATTGGTTTTATTAGCCGACTATAAATGAGGAGGCTAGAAATTTATTTGATTGTCTTGTAGAAGAAATAGATTTTCACATTTGTTACAAATGAATACATGGCAGTGATAAATACACTTGACCTCATAAACGACAAAACAATATCCATATAAAAAACGTGTTGTATATATTTGAAAATAAAAACCATAGAAATGAAGAATAAACATCTTAAAGTGTAAAATTAACCATTAAAAATATACCCTTCTTCCAAGACGTGTCAACAATCCTTCATCATCCAGAGCAGATAAACCATGTAAAGTTTCCATAGCAGCGACAAGTGTCTGAAGGATAAAATAACAATAACGCAATGTATAGTTTTAAGTAATAAAAGTTATTAGAACATATAAAAATATATAATCAATTCATTCAGACTCAAAATCGTTCGCAATGGTACAAGTTTATTCACTCTTTATGTTTCCATAGATCTAAGTTTCTGAATTCCTCACGAATTTTTTTCGTATAATTTCACCAATATATATTTTCTTCACGAAGTGTATAGTAGATGCCTAGTCTTTCCCATTACCATCAATACTGTTACAACCTCTACTACTTTGCGATTTACTCCAAGAATGTCATCTCCTTGTACTACTGGGGTGTGGCAACCTGAACCAATGCATATATTTGCCAGGCTCTAAATTGTATTTGACTGACTGATAACACAAAGGTACGCCATAGATATTTATTAGGCGTGTATAATCAATCAGGTCGATAAAGGAACACAACCTCTAGTGTGCTCTACAAATTACGTTACCGTTGTTCATTAGATGCGGATTCTTGTCTAAAAATATATGACAATATTTGCAAACTACGTAGTATATCTTCTAAGTAACAACTTGACCAAAAAGTAGGTGATGTGAAGGTTTTGATGTCCTAGACGATGAAATAATTGTCAAATGAAAGGGAAAAGCCATTCAGTTTGTATATATGCTAATTGATACATCAAAGTTAACCATCAAGTATTCTAAGTAATCATAATATTGGCTCACAGAACGTAAAAGATAAATAATAGGGTAGATTAAGTCCAAAAAAATTAGAAAACGTTATTATTATTATTATTATTATTATTATTATTATTATTATTATTATTATTATTATTATTATTATTATTATTATTATTATTATTATTAAGACAATCAAAAAGGTTAGAATTCAAATTAATTATTTACCTGTAATGGGGGAGGATCCATAAAGTCAAATGACAATAAATCATTTATACCCATGGCTTTCAACTGTAAAACTGTACTTGCTAGATTTGTTCTTTGAATCTCTGGTACATTGGTCGCTAACATTTCATCTCTGTAGGCTCTTTCAGTATACAAACGATAACATTTTCCAGGACCTGTACGACCTGCACGTCCAGCACGTTGTTTAGCTTGAGCCTGAAGTAAATAAAAAGGGAACATTCTTGATCTCTACTCCACAATATGTTATTTTTACATCAATACGTAATGTAAACTTGAAAACTACAACTCTGCATCTACTGTAAAATGAATTATAAAGCAGATCTCTCTGATGAAAACGTTTAGTTTGTTCTTTTGGAACAAGAACATAAAACAAAACAAAAGTTGGCTGTCTTAGAAAGTGAATTTTGAACCACAACCAAGGGACCAGTGTAACATTTAATTTTATCTTAAACGCAATACGAAACAAGATTGGCAAGAAGCTGTAATTTTCATAATTGTCATTATTGTAATAACACAAAACATCTCTATTCAAATATTCTCGCCATAATTCACATCTGTATATTTTGGTCTGCGTGAAAAAGAAATATTAATGAATTATTTAGGTAACAAGAAGCGCAGTCATTTAAACAAAAAACAATAACTTTATGTAGCAAAGAGATCACGACCGTTATTGCTACCTTGACGTGGTGGGTGAGCTTGCCTATCATGATGAAGCAACCGAGCTATACTGGCTGGAACAATCGTTCCTCAAAGTCCTACCATGTCAGACAGGTCGGTTGAAGAGCGGTAAGACTAAAGGCAACAAACCCAAGGTCCGAAGGCGAAGTCGTACTGCTGACTGTACAGAGGTGTGACAGCAGTAAGATGTTTCTTTCAGACAACAAGCATGACAGTGATGCTGCCTTCCCACAAGGAGTGGTGGGTTAGAAAAGGTCGACTCTCAAAATGCACACCTTGCCTTATCCCACGGATATCCGTCTCCGGTGGTAAGGTCTCAACAAGTACGGAGCTAACACAAAAACTACTCATAAAAAGGTCGTGTGTGACCGACCTCAAGCATCTGTCCGTTGGGCACTGCGGTCATTCTTTCAGGTCACTAAGACCGCCTCTAACCCAATTTCCTTTTCAGGTACCTCCAGAAAAACCCCTCCACTGTGTGGGCAACCAGGAAGTGATAACTGCCCTCATACCTCTAACAACACTCAAGATCACTGTATTCAATTCCTATTATTCACCCTACCTCGACTTTCAACTCTAAACCTACTCTTTTGACTTCCTCCGAAAGCGTCACCGTGGCCAACGATTCTAGTGCGCGAAACACTGTCCCAGGTCTACTGAATCCTCGCTCCAAATTACACATTGGAGCCTTCAGCGTACGCACCCTATGTCGAATCGGTCAACAGGCTTCCTTGGCTAGAACCCTAGAATCTCGTACCATTGATGTACGCTGTGTCTCTGAAACACGCAAACAGGATCCCAGTGTGGTCATTCACTTGACCTCACCTCGGCAAAATAGAGAGCCGACGAAATACACCCTCCATGTACCTGGAGACCCGATAGTCAGTTCTCGTGGACTGGCAGGTGTAGGCATAGCACTAAGCATGAGGGCGGGACAAGTACTGTTAGAGTGGATCCCCGTTTACAGTCGTCTATGTGCCGTTCGGATAAACGGCTCCGTGAAAACTCAGAAGGATAGGGACACACGTAGCTGCCTTTTTGTCGTTTCTTCCTACGCTCCCATCGACTGCAGCTCGGATGAAGTGAAAGATGGATTTTACAGAAAGCTATCTGAATTTCTTCAGAAAGCTAAACGCTCAGACATAGTACACGTAATGGGTGACTTTAATGCTCAGGTAGGTAGCTTAAACCAAACAGAAAGGCATTTAGGTGGATATTTTAGCGTTCCGGCACAGCGAACAGATAATGGTGACCGTCTGCTGTAACTGTGCTCAGACAATCGCTTATTTTTAGTAAACACAAATTTTAAGCATAAGGAAAGACATCGTTTAACATGGCGACCCCCTACACCAAACCAACGATGGACTCAAATAGACCATATTCCCATCAGTCATCGTTGGAGAGGGTCGGAACAAGATCGTCGCTCATTCTGGAGTACCTGCTTGGACTCCGACCACGCCCTAATACGGGCACGCATCTGCTTGCGCCTCACTGGACGCAAAAAAGGGACACAGTAAAAAGACCCATTAGAACTGAATTGAGTAGCGAGAAAACCAAAAGTTGGTTCCAGGAACAAGTGAGGTCACAATTAGGTAGTTCTGAAGACGAGGTTGACCCAGATGTTGCTTGGAAAGATATCCAAGCAGCTGTGGAAACAGCAGTGACATCTATTAGTGATTTAAACCAGAGTTACTAAGAACCAATGGATTTCTTCAAGGTCTATTGCACTGATGGATTCTCGTAAACTCATCCCGTCAGGCTCTGAACACGATGAAGAGCGACAACAAATCAGATCTAGGTTAAGCAAAAGTCTAAGAAACGACTGTGAGTAGTGGTGGGCAACGAAAGCAAAAGAGATGGCAAAGGCGGCGACTATAGGGAACACAAGACAGCTCTACAGACTAATAAAAGAAACTGGAATTAATAGGTCAATTGTAAGTCAGACTATTTCGGAAATAGACGACACCCTCATCTGCTCTCAGTCCAGACGTTTAGAACGATGGGCAGAACATTTCAGAGAACAGTTCGGCTGGCCTTCAGCGACTCTACAACTACCCTCCATTCCCAGACAGTGTGAATGGAACATTGAAGTAGGTCCTCCAACTCTAGCAGAAGTTCAAAAGGCCATAGTTAATCTCAAACGAAGAAAGGCAGCTGGTCCAGATAAATTGGCTCCAGAGGTCTTTAAGGATGGTGGTTCAATTTTAGCGATTAGGTTGACTAATATTTTAGCTAAAATCTGGGAGTTAGACGTTATTCCATCTGACTGGTCACAATCACTTATCGTCCCAATATATAAGAGGGTCAAAATCATCCTGTGACAACCACAGAGGGATTATTTTAACTAATATAATATCTAAAATACTAGCCTCGATAATTATCAGACGCCTAACTAAGACTCGTGAACTGCAAACACGAGAGAACCAAGCTGGCTTCAGACCTGATCGTGGCTGCATCGACCACATATTCACCATTCGTCAGGTTCTAGAACACAGGCATACTTATCGACGTCTGACAATGGTGGTCTTTCTTGACTTAAAAGCAGCATTTGACTCGGTAAACCGCGAGATTCTGTGGCAGTGTCTGTCATTGAAAGGCGAACCCCAGAAGTACATAAACCTTGTAAAGGCTCTTTACTAATCGAGTCAGAGCTTATGAAGAACTGTCATCTACTTTTGCAACCTCGTGGTGTCCGTCAAGGCTGTCCACTATCTCCATTTTTGTTTAACTTCATCACAGACCCATTGATGGAAATGACATTCTCGTTGACTGAATTCTCGGGTATTGATCTCCTTCCAGGAGGTCCACTTATCGACTTAGAATACGCAGATGATATAGTCCTGTTTGGTGAAGACGCTGACAAAATGCAGAGTCTTCTGGTAGCACTAAGCAACAATCCCAGAATGTTTGGAATGCGCTTCTCTCCCTCTAAATGCAAGTTGTTGCTTCAGGACTGGTCTGCATCAACACCTAAACTAAGGATAGGGAGTGAAGTAGTCGAATTCGTTGACAACTTCACTTATTTTGGAAGTCTGATCAGCCCTAATGGGTTGGTGTCTGACGAAATCTCAGCACGGATTCGAAGAGCTCGTTTGGCTTTTGCCAACTTACGTCACCTGTGGCGAAGGCGAGATATCCGTCTATCAATAAAAGGACGAGTATATTGCGCGGCGGTTCGTTCTGTTTTACTTTACGGCAGCGAAACATAGTTATTAAAAGTTGAAGATACCCACAGATGCCCCCTTAGAAATATTACTCGCATCTGCTGGGATCACCGAGTAAGTAATAGTGAGGTTAGACGCAAGGTATTGGGGAATGATGGTAAGCCAGTTGATGAGGTTGTGACTGAGATGGTTGGGCCATGTGTTACGTATGCCTGAACACCGATTACCGCGACGCGTAATGCTGAGGATGGTTGGGAGAAAGTTAGGGGTGGCCAAACCAAAACGTGGCATCAGTGCTTGAAGTCATTAACTTCTGATCTGAGCCATGTTGATAGATGAAGACTACTTGGTTGGGGTCCGCACGATTGTAGAATCTGGATGACACTACTCAGAATCGATCACAATAGCGTTGGTGTATACACTCCCTGTCTTCCCTTAAACTAAGGTATTAAAATCGCTTCATATCTTTCTTTCTACACACTAATTCTTTCTTCCTGTACTATATTCTTATATGCAATCTTTCTCCTATATATTACCACCATTGACTTAACTACTCCTATGAATCCGGTGTTCATCTTGTGCTAATGCGGTATGGACCGATGCATATATGTGCCTGGTCCTACGTTGTAGCTGACTGACTGACTGACCAAAGAGATCACTTTTGGATGATTTTATTCTCAGAGACAAAATCTCTGAAGACAGACCTCTTCCATGAACCACGTTCATGTTCTCATCATTCAGCTACTTATTTCTAAGTAGTACAAAACACAACTAAAACAACAGAATTATACTGACCAGTATGTGGTAACTATGGAAACATTCAATCCAGAAGTTGAGAACTCTAGATTTACATAATTCAAGAGTACAGATGAATTATATGACAACAGATTCCAACTTTGTACACAGGCTTCTATTATGCCTGATAGAATAATGAAACCACAGACCAATATTTCTAACCAATTATGAGTGGATTATCTACAGTTTTACGAATTATACATATTCCAATAACAATGGAAGCACATACACACATAAATATTAATTTAAAAGCAGAATTCGTTGACTAGATGAGTTTTAAGCCTAGAAAGGGACTTACTGATCTAAATAGTGAGATTTTCCAATATTAGTAGATAAATCTAGCAAAAATACTTGCCACAACTACCATCAAATCAAAAACAGTAAATTATCATGATTAGATGGGGAAAAATAGGAGGAAATAATACCCAAAAAATTAAGTCAATGAAACCTACATACACTATTTACGAACATAACTTTTAAGTATAATGGTATTTCGAAAAACGGACACCGGGATGTTCTATAGTGTTTATGTTTTCAGCTCAATTCCGAAAGCTCTATTCACCTTGTTGATCTATTTTTTCTGCAATAGTACGAATGTACATGTGTGCAGTAAGCTGAATCGATTGTTGGTTGTGCCAAATGCTCCTGGTCAACATGTTAGGAACACAAACCTTATAACAATCCATTAGGTAATTTTATAGAACTTCTAGAAAAAGTTTGAATAACTAAAAATATTTAAATATAAATTTATTATCAGTTTGGGGTTGTGGAGATTGTTAAGTTTTTGATTGAGATCATGAATAGGTCGACATGCTAACTAGTGACTAGCTCCATGAGGGGATTTTCGAAGTCCTAGTGACAAGCCGTGACCAGTGGAGCTAATCCGTGCCAGGTAGAGACACATATCTAACTCAGATAATGGGTGAATGATTTCATAAGTTCATGGACCGATTGAAGTTAGGGATTAACACTGTTGGATGCTGGCTCAGTGGTTTAGAGGTTAAGGGTTCGCGCTCGAAACAAAAGGTCCTGAATTCGGATCCCACGTGCGAGGTTGCAGGCACGCACTACTGAGGAGTCCCATGCTAGGACGAAACAGCCATCTAGTGTTTCCAGATTTTCAATGGTGGTCTAACATCGATCAATTTATGATCTCAATCAAAAACAAATTTATAAATTGTAATAAATTAAACTGACCTGTGAAATTGGTGTGACAATAAGTTGATCCATACCAGATTTACTACTGTACACTTTTTGTTTTACAAAACCTGGATCAATAACATAATAAATTCCATCAATTGTTAAAGATGTTTCAGCAATATTTGTAGCAATCACTACTTTACGGGAGCCTGGAGGTGCAGGATCAAAAATTCTCGACTGCATTTCAGATGGTAAAGCTGCATAAACTGGTAAAATGATTAATTCAGGTACTTCAGAGCCTAAAGCTTTCATACGTTCATAAAGAAGTTCACAACCAGAGTCGATTTCTTCTTGACCAGTTAAAAATACTAATATATCTCCTTAAAAAATGAAGGTAATTATAGATTTAAATTAAATAGCATAAAAAGGACATAATATATGTGAGAAAGTATTAAAAATGTATTATTATGTACAACAATAACTGAATAATAGTAAGAACTATGATTCATAGGTGTATTATCATACGAAAGTTACTATTCAGTGAGATTCTAAAGTTAACTGATTTCTGATACACATCATCACCATCATTACACGAAGTCAGACTATTATCTTAAAGGAATTTTGGTGAATATGCTGACAACAGTCATAATAGGATGGGACAATGTTGGAATAAGACGTTGACTCGAATAAATTGATCGAATAAACACTTGAAATGTTTCCTAGCAAATCAAGTCAGTCAGTTACAACGTAGGACCAGGCACATATATGCATCGGTCCAAGTTGCCATACCTCATTAGCACAGCAAGACGAACACCGGATTTATAAGAGCAGTTACCTCAATGGTGTAATATGTTTCCTAACAAATCAAGTGACGATATTTAAACAGATAAACAATAGTTTACTGACTTGACCAATGTGTAATAATACTACTATTGGAGTAGGCAAGACATCAATGTGTTTATTACATTGATTATTAGTTAACTGCAATAAGCTAACACACATGGGAGTTTATACATAAAAAGTTAGATTTAGAACAAAATGATGTGCTGAGATCATTTGGACATTTGTATATTCAACAGATTCCTTATGACCGGAAATCTCATTTTCAACTCAAAACAATGCTTAAGCAGAAACTAGAGTCAATAGAAAGGTACCCGTATGAACAGTAACAATGAAACTTAGAACTAGATAAAACGTAATTTGACATTTTTCTATCATAAGAATCAGTTTATAAACAGTAACTCTGTTTTCAGTCACATAGACTAAGGCGACTACTACTACTACTACTCTATATTTTATGCTTAATATTCGGTTGTTGATCGATTACGATAGATAGATTTGTTATTGTAATTCTGAAAAGTTGTACAAAGTTTAAGTGGCTTTTAAAAAACCTAATTATACATTTGATCAGCATGTATTCTAGCCTATAAACAGCATATCAACTTCAAAAGTATTACCGATAATCGAAAACTGACATTTGAAAGTTATTATTACCATTATTATTTTTAAAAACATTAACAAACTACTTGCAATTGACTAGTAGCTAAAAAATAAAAATTGTAGCTAATCAAATTAATAAATAACAGGGTTCTAAATACTCAAATGAAATTTTACTACAATACTACAACATATTCAAATAATTCACGATCATTTTTTAAACTGAGTAGTGTTAAATGTATGAATTCAGTACATAAAATAAACGCCTGTCCGAACTGTTTTCAATTATACAAGCAAAGAAAAAAACATAAATTCCTCATAAACTTCGGTTAGCAATAGGCTGTAACACAATGAAATAATTTAAGGTTTTAATAATAATGTTTGAATAGTTTCACGCAATGTTAAGTGCCAATGAATCTATTGATTCAACTGGATTAAACGGGTACATACATGTATGTATCATACTGCTGTGTACAAAGTAAAAAGATCAAATACCTGGAGGTTCAGTTAAATGAATTTGCATAACTGTATTGAGTGCAGCGTCTAGATAATCATTTTCTGGTTCTAAACTATACAATATTTCAACAGGATATGTACGACCAGGTATAGTGAATATAGGCTAAATAAATATTTTAATAGAGAAAGAAAACAAAGGATCATTTGCAATAAATAATAATAGTCAATGAGCTAATCAATAGTCTTCAGCAACGTGTAAAACTAGAGTAATTTAAATATTGAGAATATTTATATCTTAACTGTCAGGCTACGAATTAGAACCTTTCTACTTACTATAATTTAACTAACCAGTTAATATTATTACTATCCTTCATATAATATGCATAGATGAGTATATGAAAATGTATTTGGTTTGTGTAGTCAATGATTATTTTTAGCCAACTTAAGCAAATATTTACAAAATTAAAAATCCAAGTTCGTCTATTAATTCAGTTTATTTTATACATATGATGAATGCTTACACCTAGTGATTTAGAGATAACCTACTAACCATTGTAAAAGAAACACTAGTCGAAGTATAAACATGCTAGAAAGTAAAAAAATGGTAGGAACACAAAGGTCTCATAGGGTTCATTTACACTGGGATTACTGTCAACTGATCTAATCACACTCACGAAAGGTTCTGTCAGGAAACAACCTTAATGAACAGTTATATATTAGCAAGAAAGTGGTGAATTGATGGTTTAAAACTACTTTAAATACGCTTGTCTTACTAACTGTCAAGTATTACAAGCCTAAAGAGACATAATACATAAATTAGCACATAATTATATAGTTCATAAGTGAGTATGTGAGTATGTAGTTTACCCAACTACAACTAACAGCTTGCAATGTTATCTTTGTACATGAGCCTATGTCTAGTTAGTGAACTGTTTAAAATGGTGTGCTATAAGAGTAAAACAGCTGTTATACATTTAGACGTGTTGATAGAAAGGTACAGTCAAATATCTATTATATTGAATCGTTTTCTTACTATAAACTAATCATCTATTTAACACTAAGTAATTATTTTACTCAATGTTATCAAAATAGAGGATCTTGGTTTTATTATTTACTAGAATCAAGATCAAGTCAGGGCACGTTGATTTGTCTGTTTCCAACCAATGAAGGCGAAGGGATGGGTTGAAAAGACATTAAGAGTCTTTTGTAAATTTTATATAAGAGCCAATGATTTTTTCTATTACTATCCTCTATTGCTTTAATTTTAGGAAGATGTTTTCATTCACTTCCAATTTATGTTCTAATTTTGAGACCAATGAAGTGAAGAATTGAATCCAAGGAATACTAAGTAGTAGAGTTATAGTGAATGAGAACACGATTGGGGACAATCGAACGTATTTGAACACAAACTTACAAAACATTTTAGTAAAATATGAGGACCATACAGTAAATACTTCACTTGCAAAATGTCATTCAACTGTCTCAAACTTGACTGTTCCTTTTGCAAATATCATTCAATCGTCTCAGACTTCATTGTTCCTACATTTACATACCAAATGCTTTCTGTTCCCGTTCTTTCCCCCCTCGATCTTCATGGCCTTCTGATGCCAGACATTCTATTCCTGACTAGCGTCATATACTACTTATATCGATATAAGTAGCACACCACAGAATTACAACACTTAATTACCGCCTTAAGCATTTATCATTCGAGCGTTAGTCGTATTACACTTGTAATATAAATTATCACGTATAGACACTATTATTCAGTTGATATGAGTTATTTATTAACTAATTATTACTGTTCAAAATATTTCATGAATTCATAGTCACACAAAGATATTTTAAGCATTGTATTGTGTTTTACAATAAGTTCATTAAATTAACAACTAACTTAATATGTTTATTTATTTATATTTTATTTCAACACATAGATATTGGTACAAAGAGGCACAAATACATATGCACCACACAAATCTCATTTGATATGTGTGAGGGCTGTGATACTGCCCGGGTGCACAAACCGAAGCACGTGGTTTTCTTAGGGGGCCACACCCCGAGCCTTCGACCTGAAGGTCTGATCCACAAGGGAGTGGAGCATCGTGAGGAGATGCAGTCCCATGGTAGCCGGTGACCATCGATTGGTACATACACCATTTGTTCCTTCAGGATACTGGAGCCCATGTGCACCATTAGTTTGGAATCCGGTTAAAGCGCCGGACACTCCCTTTTCGTCCTCTCATTTTCGTAAACAACACCCCCACCACGAGAGGGCAGTGAGGACTTCCCCGGAAGAAGCTATATACGCGTGGCCATGTGAGAGCATTTCGAGAGGAAGGGAGGACTCTCCCCACTCTCGGCCGTACCAGGGCATTTGGGGGCAACTTAATATGTATTCAAATATTTGATAATCAAACAGCTCAAATGTTATTTATAAGTCATTATCATCATTAAAATTATTTTACAGATCAATTGAATATAAATAAATCAAAAAAATTTTCTCAAGTGATAAATAATTTTGGAAATCGAGTCTCAAACTTATATGGATATATTAATATGTCTATACTTTCAGTCTATTCGCACATAAAGTGTACATCTTCTCTTCATTAAAAACTATGCATTACCTGATAAATTCATGGATATTAGAAGTATATGTGATAGTATCAGATAATGAAATTCATGAATCGTTTTCAAGCTTATTTACATGTTCAGATTTCATTGAAGATAAAATTTACGACCCACTGTTTTATATCCTAGTATTGTTGAATAAGTTATCTTTTTAATAGTTAGATTCATGGGTCAACCTAAGCTAGAACACCATTGAAAACCTGGAAGCGCTGGACAACTGTTTCGTCCTAGCGTGGGACTCCTCAGCAGTGCACATCAACGATACCGCGTGCGGGATCTGAACTCAAGATCTCCGATCTCGAGCGCGGACGCTTAACCTCTAGACCACTGAGACGGCATCTAACAGTGTTAATGTTTAACTCCAATCGATCCATGATCCTATCTCCATCCAACACGGTCGTTCTGTGCTTCCAGGTTTTCAATGGTGGTTTAGCATAGATCGACCCATGAATTCAACTATTAAGAAAATTTACTACAATCTCCACAAACCTACATTCTAACATATTGGTTATTGTAGCAAGTTATTACATCGAATACCCCCAAATGCCTTGGTATGGTAGGGAATGGGGAGAGTTCGTTCTCCCTCTCGAAATTCTCTAATATGGTCACGAGTATACATCCACCTCCATGGAAATCTTACTCACTACCTTCTTGAAGAGAGGATGTTGTTTACGAGATTGAGAAGACAAAAAGCGAATGTCTGGAGCTTAAACCAGGTTGATAGGTAAGGAGGACCTGCCTAAGGGAGCTGGAAAACTCTTATTCCAAACCAATGGTGCATATGGGCTCCAGGATTCTGAATAAACAAATGACGTATGAACTTATTGTTGGTCACCGGCTACCATGCGACTGCATCTCTTTACGTTGCCCCACTGCCTTGTGGATTAGATCTCTAGGTCAAAGGCTCGAGGAGTAGCCTCCTTAGAAAACCACCTGATTCAGATTGGGCAACCAGGCGGAATCCCAGCCGTTACACAATTTTGCGTGGTGCATATATATTTTGGTGCCCCTTTGTACCAATGTTTTTGTGTCTAACTAACTAACTAACTAACTAAATCATACTAAAAAGAAACAAACTCAATTTAAAATATTTCAGGATAAAGTGTGGTTTGATTAGTCAAAACTTAATCAAACAAATGCAAGTGATAATCAAGTAAACACTGAACAAAACACAATTTGTTTAACTGCATTTATTTAGCTTTCGATGTCGTTCGATTCAGCACTTGTGAGTGCTATTATTTCACTGAATGTTGTACTGCTTCAAAATTACCTTTGATACAGTAGTTTCATCAAGAAATCAAGAAGGTATTACAGTTACGCACACGTAACAATAACTGCGTTAAGGCAATCAATCACCATATAAATGACATGAGGTTACGTTATCACTTTCAATCGCGTATTAGTTATCCATGCATAAATTCTCATAGATTAGTGTCTTGAAAAAATGATTTGAATCAAAATAAATTTAGTGCCTTAACACTTACAGCTTCAAAAAAGTACTGGGAAAATTTGACTGAATCAAGAGTAGCTGAAGTGACAATTAACTTCATATCATCTCGTTTTTGAATAGCTTTTTTCAATAAACCAAATAATACATCTGTATGTATTGTTCGTTCATGTGCTTCATCCAACATAATTACTGAATATTGGCGTAAATCCGGATCAATAAGGCATTCACGTAACAGCATACCATCTGTCATGTATTTGATTTTTGTTTCTGGTGCAGTACAATCTTCAAAACGTATTGTATAACCAACTTCTTGCCCTAGACGACAACCAAATTCTTCAGATACCTAGAAAAATAGAAAAGAGTGAATGTTGTGTAAAATATGGCGGATGGACAAAGACAATTAAATCAATAAATCCTTTTTTGCAAAATAAAACATCTATGAAAGTTTGTTTCATGTAACTATAGAATAGAGCAGAGCAGGATAGAGGAAAGTAAAGTAACATAAAACAGAGATGTGTCATCTGATTCGAGCACCTACAACGTAGTAACATCATGTTGTAAACAAATATCAACGATAAAAACGGAAACTTTAGAAAAACGGAAATGAATAATCGGAAATGATATTTTTATATTATGAAGAAAAATCGATAGTGAAGGTACCGTTGACCAACATTTCAAGTTAATGATTTGAATTCGCTTAAAAATTTCAAAAAAACTTAGTTTACCAAACAAAAGATTTCGTTTTTACGCTATTTTTCCTTCCAAATACCAAAAACAACTTTTAAAACCGACTATGAAATCAACAACATTGGACATTGACGTAAACGGTAATTAAAAATACAAGAACAAATCATAATAAGTTTAGTTAACAAAAGTGTACAACTAGACTAAAATTATATGCTGAACATCTTGTATCGAACTTTCACAATGTTTGTTTTATAATCCAATTTTAATCAGTAATATTGGGATATTATTAGTGTTTAAATGAATGTAATGTTCCTTATGAACTGATGTCTAAGAGCTCAATTCTTTACTACTAGGATAAAGATTCTTACTAAATCTAAACATTCAATTCTACCCAGACCATATAACTCAATATGTTATACATCAACATTTATAGCAAATAAATCTGTATTGAATAACATAAATACAGCTCGCTAACCAAACATAAGTTCATGTAATAGGTTTTTAAGCACACTTCTTTATGTTTAAGCTCTAGTAGTATTACCATCTGTCTGTGTTGGGCTAGGTACAGTATGGTTCGAACTTGCAAACAAACTCAAAGTAAATCATACTAAATGAACAAGAAATTGGAAAACGTACTCGTTTAGCTACAGACATAGCTGCTACTCGACGTGGTTGAGTGCATCCAATGCGACCAGTGTTGACATAACCTGCTTCAGCTAGATATTGTGTTATTTGGGTAGTCTTCCCACTACCAGTTTCTCCAATAACAATCAATACTTTATTATCATTCACTGCCTGTATTCATTAAAAGAAAAACATCACATTATTGATTCCGTGCAAACGATATGAATATGTAACATTAAAATTAAGGAAGCAATTTCGGGACAAAATTTCATGAATAAGTTCAGTACTAATTATTCAATAAAAATGTAATATTATCGCCTCACAGTTGTTTAATAAGTCATAATTAATGGTACTAGAGGAAAAATACTTAAACTCGAGGAATTGAACAGCTGACTAGTCCCCATTTTATCCCGAACGTAGAAAACAAATTACTCAATAAGATTAATAAAGCTGCATAGGTAGTATACAATACGCACATTACTTCAGCTCAGTCAAAAGCCGAAAAACTGGAAAGTTCTACCTATAATCAAACAATGTTTTTATGCACTTTTTGTCCATCTGAAAGACTGAACAAACTACAGTTTCCTAACTAAAACTTATGGAAAAACAATGTATTCCCTAAGTAAGTTACGAAAAATAGTGATTACCTCTATATTATTCATTAACCATTCGCTTGAATGAGATGAGTTACAATTAAAAATACGTAAGAATGAAAATGAAGTTCATTTTATGCTACTATAATTTAGCATATGACTTGAATATGAATTTGAGAATTCATTCCGACAGTCATAACCAAATATGCATTAAAGTCTGCTGAATTTATAATTGCATGTGTTTGTAAAAATACGCAAACGGAAAAAGACTAATTTTGTATCAATTACAAATTTATTTATTTTTATAGAAAGAAAATAATAATGAAACTTATAATAAGCATTCAGAGAACAGTTCTGAGATCGACATCAAACTTTTATGGCTTTGTGAATGCCTTGTTATAAGGTTCAAATAATTTCATCTCCACCAATCACACTGACACCCATAAATTTTCTGGTTCAGTATTACGTATTCTATATCTTAAATCACGGGCTGACCTTAGTTAGATAGTCACCGTATACCATGAAGCACTGGATAGCTGTTTCGTCCTAGCATGGGAATCCTCAGCAGTGCATATCCGTGATCCCTATCAGGGATCGAATCCAGGGCTTTTAGGTTTCACGTTGAGTGCCTAACCTTTAGACTATTGAGTCGGCGTCTAATTCGTTACCTTTCTAGCTTCAATCAGTTCGTAATATTCAACAACCACATTTCAGTGTCATTGGTGGGTGAACTCCACTGGTTACAGTTCCTCATTGAAGCTCCTGAAATTGCTCAAAATTAGCCACTAGTAAGCAAATAATTATCAGTATTATATGAGGGGTTTGCGAATGTGAACTATAAAATTCCATCTTTACGAATTTCCTACACTCCTACATATTTATTTGGTCTTTTCTGAATAAAATTACATTCACTTGTCATATCTTGTCAAGCATTGAAGGCACTTAGAACGATTTATTTACACAACACTTGGCACTTAACAGCTAACAAATAAGATTGAGTACCTGTTTAATTCGATCGGCACAATGGTTTTGAAACTTGGGAAACTAACCTTCATTAGCTCATCTTTTAGTCTGAATATGGGTAAGGCTTGACGCTGTTCAAGAATAGATCGTACAATCTTTTTACCAACAGCTCCAGTTCTTGTACCCCCTTGAACAGCACGTTTCCATTCCGGTACATCTTTAAACTGGTCAGTTGAACGTGAACCTGAAAACTGTGGTTCATTGTCCACTGAAATATATCAGATACATAGAATAATGTGATACAAAAAGATGTCGCAAGTATGTTATCAAAATGTTTACATTTGACTAATAACAAGTATTAATATAAATGCAGTAAAATCAGAATTCGTCAAATGTAATTGATTATAATTTATACTCCGATGAAATTGAAGAATTATAATTATAAAATTTATATGGCCGAGTGAAATTATTTTATAATAAGCATGTCATGCACTGATGAAACGCAAACCAGCAACAAAGACGACTGATTCTTCGAGTACCTTTTGCCTCACTGAGCAGTAGTAATATCAAGAGATAACACCTGAATTGTGACCGCGAATATTTTTTATTTAATAAACAATTAACTACTATGATATATCTTTAAACAACTTAAACCCCAAAGATAATAAATTGTCCGATAAAATTATTCGAAAATAGTAAATGAAAGAATCAAACTCGGAAGTAGATAAATTTCTACCTCATCGTCCAACAGCCTAGAATGGGGATCTTTAATTTAGCTAGATCTTATTGTTTCCCTGTCCTGACAAAGTCGTGTGGGCTTTTTTTAGAGTCGATCTAAAAAATCGTAATAAGTCCAAAAATAAAGATCTAATGGTAGACAAAGATTAAAGCCATCTGCTGCATTGTAACCAACACTGAGCTACATAAAATTCAGTAAAGAAATAATTGCATCCTAAAAAGAAATTACTTACAAGTAAACCCCATTGGATCATGCCAATCTTTACCCATCCGTTCAGGAGCAGTCTCTCGTTCAGCTGTTACTTGGTTTTGTCTTTCTTGTTGTTTCATTTCACGTCTTTCCTTTTGTAGAGCTTGTCTCATCATGGCAGCTTGTTGCAATGATCCGTCTGGATTCTTGACTATTCTAACTGGAGACAAATCCATCGCATGTCGACCATGACCCTGGAAAGTATAATTAATATAAAATTAATAAACATAACATTAAACTGAAATATAAAAACTACTTAGATATGAATCAAATAATTACATATATCTATGTCAACCTGTAACAATACTAATGGTAATAATATGCCCGTTGTAAAAACAGAATATCTTATTTTACTATAAAAGTAAGCTATTTGAGAATAACTCTGATCAAGTGTTTATATCCATAGAGGATCAGAGAGTAGTGAACGTCATTTTCATCTGATCCTTGAAAACATTGGTATCATATATTTATATCATATTTATTAAGGATCCTCAAGAATTTTATGGGGATTAGCAACCGGGTTGAAGATTCGAACTCTACTCCATCAATTTAGGTTTGGGTAACCATATAGTATTACTTACCTTTACATATAAAATGTGACTTGAAGAAAGACACAAATCTGTACTAGGTAACTAAGTTATACCAGTGATCAAATTACGAAAAGAAATCAAGACTATAAAGTCAATTGTTGATAATCTAAAGCAGTGTGTAAGAGGGACTGTAAGTCACCTAGTTTCTGTCCTTCAGATGGGAAAAATAAATAATTTTTGATGCCAGCTGATATGGATAAAATCATATTGCAAATTTTATACAATTTTCTACCCAACAATTATTCACCTTTTATTCTCACATAGTATCCAGTTAAATTTCATTTAAATAAAAAAGATTATATTGCTTTCTGTTGAAAAATAAATTTGACAAACTGAAAAACCACAACTGTTGATTATACTCCAATCAGTTATTATAATCGTCAAAAAAAGAGTTTATTGGTTTGTAGACAAACCTTAAGAAATGGTGGTTCATCTTCAACAAGTTCGATTTCAATATCTTCGTCAGATTCTTCATCTTCACGTGGTAAAAGTCCAGTCTCTTCATCGAAATCAGGTAATTCTGTCTTTTCAATTACACCAGCTGACATCATTTGTTTTAATTCCCAGCGTTCTGGACTACTAATTCGTTGAACCTTTCTAAAAATATATAAATGTACACATTATCCCCATATTATTATAGTTACTGAGAATAAAAAATAGTAAGTACACTGTACAAGTAGTTTATTCCAAACTAAACCTGATAACCTTATTAACAATAACAAAAACAACATTCATTAATAGAAAGAAATATCAAGCATACCGTTTGGGACCAGATTCAATGTCTTCCTCAAATCCCATTTCTTTGCGTCTACCGAAAAATCCTGGTCCAGAGTTAGCTGCAGGACGATCAGGATTCCGAACACCATCGATATCCTCTTCATCTACGAGACGTATTTTATCTTTATCTAACGATTCACTAGAATTATTGGATTTCTTCTCAGGCAAGCGTGAAGGATTCAAATCAGCACCCGTCTCTTGGTCCACCTCACGCATACTAAGACCAGTTCGAGTACCTGTGAACGAGATAACTTTTACCCAGACCTTCAAGAAAGAGAAGATTTTTGGTTAGAATACAGAATGAATCCATGTTCTTTTTGCAATAAGAACAATGAGGACAATATTGGACATGCAACACTCAGTGAACGTAAAGCATGTCTTCAGGTGAGAAGGCTAATATACATGCAAAAGACATAACAAATCAGCAAGATGGTCTTTGACCAAGTGTTATGACAGAAAACGTTGAAACAGCCTGTAAGGTAAGCCTTTAATTAGTACTGGGTTTAGTATTAAATAATTTGGGAAGACTGTGACCCAGTGGTCCAAGGATTTGACTTTTAACTGCAAGGTTAGCTAGTTAAATAACGCTTTAACGAAACACTATCGACAATTCGTAAACAGTAAATGTGGTTCATAGTTTGGTATATAAACATACTAGTCACAGATATGGATATTATCCCTGAAAAAATGATTGCTAGAAGGTTGAATCAACTTGAGCAGTGTGAAAGTTACTGTCTGAAAAAAATAATTACCAACACGTGGTACAGTCGAAAAGTCTTCCAATGGTAACAGGACATCACAACTAAGTGTATTTTTTAGCAGGCCTTTATACTGCCATGGTTATTAAAATTAAACAAAAGATCTTGGGTTAGATTATGTATGGCGTTATAACAGTATACTATGCGGAATTCCTCTGCTCTTTATCTCCTCATGATTTCAGAATAAATCTCAGTTCATGGTTAACAATATCTCGAAATTAATAATATTGTCGATTTTGTCATCATTATTATTATTAATACCACAGTTTATAAACAGAGTCAAAGGAGCACTAACTGTAAAGTCGAAAATGTATAAGTTACCTTTTGATTACGATTAACAACATCGCCAACACTGGCTACACGACCTTCTTGACGTAGCTGAGAAATATGCACCAGACCCTCCCATCTCTTACGAAGTCCATCTAACTGAACAACAGCTCCAAATGCTAGCACATTTGTAACTCTACCACGATAGATATCGCCCACAATAGGTTCTGAAGGAAGATCTTTTAGTCGTTTACTTTCGTAATTTGGACTACTTGAACCATGAGAATACCTTTTAGGTGAAATATGATCAGCTCGTGGTCGGTCTCTATGATAAGACGATTTGTTAGCTGGAGAATGATCCTCAGATCGATGTCTGGAGGAGTGAGGCGACGGCGATCTGGATTCTTTCCCATGAGGTGATCTGGTATTTATAAATTAAAATGTACGTGATAATACTTCCACTTCCAAACAAAATTCAAGTGGGTTTTACAATAAATAGAAATCACGTTAAAGCAAAGAAATATACAGAATAAGTGACGGATAAGATGTTTTTTGATTTTATTTACTCCTGATTCAAGAAGTCATATTGATTTTATGAAAAGACGGTTTAAACAGAATAGTTGAGGATCTCTTTGCAGAAATCAGATTGTTAGAATCTAAAGTCTTACTATTCTTGAAGTAAGATTAAAAGTAAAGAATTTAGGACCTCATCAATTTGGCGAACACGTAACAAAGGTTCATAGTTTATCGATAAGACGTAACTCACTTTCCATTTGAGTCAGTAGTTGGTAAAACAGAGAAACCAGATGAGAAATGTAAATCCTAAGAATGACAATAATAAGACTGGAACTAGTCAGCTGATCCTGCGAAATTGCATCAAAATGGCTTGATTGCCTACTTTATATAGATGTCTTAATAGCTGGTATTTTCTAGAAACTAATAGTAATAGTTAAACTCACACATCAAATACCCAAAAAATGAGTGCAAAAGTTTACGACAGTGAACGAGTTTCACTGTCAGTTAAAAACTTTAGAAAAGTGGAGACAATGTGTAAGCTAAACACCTCAAATATCCACAGTATGCAGTCGCTTAAATGACAGAATTTTTCACAGCCGTGCAATCAAATATTTTCAAATTATTTTCAATTTTGCAATAGTACTATTATATTATCTTATTGTGACTGAACAATTTACTGACCTTTATTGAATGACCTTTCTAATTTGCAAATATTACAATTTTTTGAAGTATATATATATATATATCGTAACAGATGCAAACGCTCACCATTTTTAACACATAACATTGTCAAACTCATTAAAACATGCCTTATTTTTGGCCTTTGTAAAATATTATAATTATGGACTTATAACTGTAGAGCCTGATGATGAAGTTATTGAAAACAATTGTTCGCTCAAATATTCTTCGTTTTCAAATATTTATAATTGAAAATTATGGTGAAAACAATTCAAGCAGTAGTTACCATATTCTGATTATAGTGTAAGAAAATGGGAATAAGGTTTGCTGAAAAACCTGTCTAATAATCTGATATCATAATACGTAATATTTAGTGGATGATGAAAAATAACAATAGTAATAATAAACCGAAATCTTATTAAACAGGAAAATACATAAGACTGGTAAGATCAGCTTTAAAGCTCCTCGGAAATCAAATACATAAAAGGGAATAGTAAAACTATGAAAATAAATACCAGAAAAATAATTAACTCACCTGGACTTTTTACGATGACCACGATAATCACTAGATGCATCAGGATTTCTTTGATGAGCTCTTCGATTTGAATGTCGTGAACGATGAGGAGATTTAGAATGTGAACGACGAGCACTATTATTATAAAGAGAAGTACAAGTTAAGAATTGAACTATTCTTTTTTAATTACAGTAAATGATTAAAAGATTTATATGTAAAGTATAGCCATGAAACAGGAAATGAAAGTTTGAACAAATTTTTGATCGCGTCAACGAAAATTGAACAGAACTAGTTACCAACTTCAGTGGCCTCTAAAAAGAATTTCCTTCGGAAATAAATATCAGAAAAATCAGTATGTAAAATACCCTCCCAAACACTAATTATCCTGGCAGCAAGTACTTTTCTTCAAAAGCAAAGAAAAGCCTGCCAAAATAATTTAGTGCAACAAATCTCTTAATACTAGTCAGCGACTACATCCTAGGTTCTACTCCAGAGTTTGATAAAGCCCCCAACTGTCTTGGTACGGCCGAGAGTGGCGATAGTCAACTCCCCCTCTCGAAATGCTCTCACATGGCCACGAGTATACAGCCACTTCCAAGGAAGTCCTATTCACTGCCTTCTTGAAGAGAGAATGTTTACGAAATTGAGAAGACAAAAGGCGAATGTCTGGCGCTTTGACCGAATTGATGACAAAGGAGGACCCACTTAGGGGAGCTGAAAAACTCTCATTCCGAACCAATGATGCACATGGGCTCCAGGATCCTGAAGAAACAAAAGGAGTATGAACCTGGCGTCGTTTGCCGGTTACCATAAGACTGCATCTCCTTACGTTGCCCCACTGCCTTGTGGATTAGACCTGTAGGTCGGGGGCTCGAGGAGTAGTCACCTAAGGAAACCACCTGCTTCGATTTGGGCTGCCGGGCAGTATCCCAGACCCAACACAAACCATTTGATTTGTGTGGCGCATATATATTTGGTGCCTCCTTGTACCAACGTCAATATGTTTAAATATAATAAATCGAGTTTGATGATACTGAAAAATCCGAGTCAAGCAGACACACTGAAATGATCGACAACATGAGGTAGTAGCTCTATGCTATGAACAATTAAACTGTTTTCAGCTTAAAGAATATATTGTACGACCAACACTCAGCACTGCAGAGTTAAAGTCTTCGATCGTGGATCTGAATGATGTAAATTCATTAGTTAGTTAGAGTCAACATAGAGGCATGTTCGAATTCATATAGGCGAACACTAGCTTTGCTAAAATTGTAGAATCCCATTATTACCGATCGAAAGTAAATACAACCAGATTAACCAAGGGTTTACATCAATCATCTCTAATCATTCAGAATCAGATTCGCTAACTGTAACATTACAGATAGGAATATATAGAGTATATGACGGTCTTAAACTTGAGAGTATTAATTTCTAAATATGATATGCATTCGATAGTGAAACGCTCGAACATATGGTAATATCACATACTGGTTTGTGAGTCAAACTCCATCTTTCATCAACGAAAATTAAAAAGTTTGGTAAAAAAAGATATGGTTGAGATCATGAGTCAATTGAAGCTAGACTACCATTGAAAACCTGGAAGCAGTGGACGGCCGTTTCGTCCTATTGTGGGACTCCTCAGCAGTGCGCATCCACGACCTCATGATCTCAACTATTGGAATTACTATAATATCCATAAAACAATACTGACATGAATCAACATATACTCACTAGTGACTGGCTTCAAGAGGTATTTCCTAGAGTTCTAGTGAGAAGCAGTGGCCAGTGGAGTTCAATCGGGTCTGTTGTGAGATAGTAACTCACTGAAGACATTGGTGGATGTGTCGCTCAATTTCGTGGATTGGTTGGAGTTGGACATTAACACCGTTGGATGTCGACTCAGCGGACTAGTGGTTAAGCACTCGAGCGCGAGACTGATAGGTCCTGGATTGGAATCTCGCAAGGCGATGTTGTAGATGCACACTGCTGAGGAGTCCCGCAATAGGACGAAACGGCCGTCCACTGCCTCCAGGTTTTTCATGGTGGTCTAGATTCAATTCACTCATGATCTCAACCATTGTAATTACTATAATATCCACAAAACCCTTCTGATATAAAAAAGATATGTTGAGTGAACCAGAACATTTATTAATGTATAAGTCCCAAAAATTCTGTAACAACCCATTCCGCAAAAAATGTTTTGACCAAGACAAGCAAACTCGAAAGGTATAACATCAAACAGCCGATAGAAAATTAAGTATAAACGATGAAATTCCACAGAGAAGGCTCCAAGTAAAGTTTCACTTATGTTAAAGACAACAAATCTCCATCATAAAAACTACGAAAGAATAGTCCCGAAATTTGATAAACAGTGCTAAATATATACTTTGTCCCTGCACTTCGAGCTTGAACTGCTAGAGGGAAAAAACATCAAGTATTTATATAAAACTGAGTACAATGTAACTATTTCACGGAGGAATAGAAACAACTTGTTGCCACGTAAGATCGAAAGACAAAGCAATGCAGTACGGGGTATATATCATACCATAGTTCTAAATATAATCTTACAATCTCACAATAACTTAAATTTTAATCGTTATTAAGAATATCAAATGAACTCAAATTAGGACACAAATATCGGATCTAAAGAAATAATTGAATTCTTTACACTTAGAACTCAGCCCCAATGTATATAAATTATTCAACTACTTAGCACCATGTACTAAAATCAGCTCTCCAGAGTATGGAACAAATATCTAAATCAGATTTAATGGGAGACATTATAGGAATAATTATGCTACTTAGTTGAAGCAGTGCATATGTTGACTCGTAAGTTGCTAGGATTTGATCACATATGTGTTAGAAATATTGCTCGCATCTGCTGGGATCACCGGGTAAGTAATGGTGAGGTTAGACGCAGGGTACTAGGGAATGATAGTAAATCAATTGATGAGGTTGTAAATCTTCATCGACTAAGATGGTTGGATCACGTAAGTATAAGTGAGACTATTTCGGAAATAGACGACACCCTCATCTGCTCTCAGTCCAGACGTTTAGAACGATGGGCAGAACATTTCAGAGAACAGTTCGGCTGGCCTTCAGCGACTCTACAACTACCCTCCATTCCCAGACAGTGTGAATGGAACATTGAAGTAGGTCCTCCAACTCTAGCAGAAGTTCAAAAGGCCATAGTTAATCTCAAACGAAGAAAGGCAGCTGGTCCAGATAAATTGGCTCCAGAGGTCTTTAAGGATGGTGGTTCAATTTTAGCGATTAGGTTGACTAATATTTTAGCTAAAATCTGGGAGTTAGACGTTATTCCATCTGACTGGTCACAATCACTTATCGTCCCAATATATAAGAGGGTCAAAATCATCCTGTGACAACCACAGAGGGATTATTTTAACTAATATAATATCTAAAATACTAGCCTCGATAATTATCAGACGCCTAACTAAGACTCGTGAACTGCAAACACGAGAGAACCAAGCTGGCTTCAGACCTGATCGTGGCTGCATCGACCACATATTCACCATTCGTCAGGTTCTAGAACACAGGCATACTTATCGACGTCTGACAATGGTGGTCTTTCTTGACTTAAAAGCAGCATTTGACTCGGTAAACCGCGAGATTCTGTGGCAGTGTCTGTCATTGAAAGGCGAACCCCAGAAGTACATAAACCTTGTAAAGGCTCTTTACTAATCGAGTCAGAGCTTATGAAGAACTGTCATCTACTTTTGCAACCTCGTGGTGTCCGTCAAGGCTGTCCACTATCTCCATTTTTGTTTAACTTCATCACAGACCCATTGATGGAAATGACATTCTCGTTGACTGAATTCTCGGGTATTGATCTCCTTCCAGGAGGTCCACTTATCGACTTAGAATACGCAGATGATATAGTCCTGTTTGGTGAAGACGCTGACAAAATGCAGAGTCTTCTGGTAGCACTAAGCAACAATCCCAGAATGTTTGGAATGCGCTTCTCTCCCTCTAAATGCAAGTTGTTGCTTCAGGACTGGTCTGCATCAACACCTAAACTAAGGATAGGGAGTGAAGTAGTCGAATTCGTTGACAACTTCACTTATTTTGGAAGTCTGATCAGCCCTAATGGGTTGGTGTCTGACGAAATCTCAGCACGGATTCGAAGAGCTCGTTTGGCTTTTGCCAACTTACGTCACCTGTGGCGAAGGCGAGATATCCGTCTATCAATAAAAGGACGAGTATATTGCGCGGCAGTCCATTCTGTTTTACTTAACGGCAGCGAAACATGGCCTTTAAGAGTAGAAGACACCCGTAAGCTACTAGTATTTGACCACAGATGCCTTAGAAATATTGCTGGCGTCTGTTGGGATCACCGAGTAAGTAATAGTGAGGTTAGACGCAGGGTATTATGTAATGATGGTAAATCAGTTGATGAGGTTGTGAATCTTCATCGACTGAGATGGTTGGGCCACGTGTTACGTATGCCTGAACACCGATTACCACGTCGTGCAATGCTAACGGGTGTTAGAGATGGTTGGAAGAGAATTAGGGGTGGCCAAACCAAAACGTGACATCAGTGCTTGAAGACACTAACCTCTAGTCCGAGCCATGTTGGTAGATGCAGACTACTTGGTTGGGGTCCGCGTGACTTTCGTAACCGATGGTTGGAGACTCTTGGTGACATGGCTCAGAATCGATCACAATGGCGTAGGTGTATACACTCCCTGTCTTCCCTTAAACTAAGAGATTAAAATCACTTCATACCTTTCTTTCTACTAACTAATTCTTTCTTCCTGTACTGTATCCTTATATGCAATCTTTCTCCTATATATTACCACCTTTGACCTAACCACTCCTATGAATCCGGTGTTCATCTTGCTGTGCTAATGAGGTATGGCAACCTGGACCGATGCATAAATGTGCCTGGTCCTTCGTTGTAGCTGACTGACTGACTGACTGACTGTATGCCTGAACACCGATTACCACGACGCGCAATGCTGAGGATGGTTGGAAGAAGGTTAGGGACGGCCAAACCAAAAACGTGGCATCAGTGCTTGAAGTCACTAACTTCTGATCTGAGCTATGTTGACAGATGCAGACTACTTAGTTGGGGTCCGCGCGATTATCGTAACCAATGGTTGTAGACTCTGGACGACACAACTCAGAATCGATTACAATCACGTAGGTGTATATAAATTGTCTGCCTTTAAACGGTAAGATTAAAATACTTCTTTCTGTATTATATATTTGTACACAATCTTTATTTTATATATTACTACTATTTATGTAACTACTATGAATTTGGTGCTCATCGTGCTGTACTAATGAGGTGCGGCAACTTGGACCGATGCATATATGTGCCTGGATATACGTTGTAGCTGGCTGACTGACTGATTCATACGTTGAAGTCACTGTCCACGAAAATGTCAAATATCAATGGGAAAATATAACATACAACTAGATTCAAACAAGCAAATAAGGAAACTACTAACCGTCTATCCTCACTTTTCTTTTCGTCACGTGGCTTTGACTTAGATAATGATGCTCTAAGAAAATATTTTTATAAACATGAAAATTTACTCCTTAGCACCGGATAACAATAATTCCAAGTCTTTAATCATAGCCAAAGCTTCGACGTCATCTACACAATCTTTTTTATTATTGATATTATCACTATGGAATTCCTCTTCCAGTTCATCAGGATGAACGAATTTGTTACGAATCCCATCCTTTTTATCAGTATCACTGCACGGTTCTACATTTTCAGATTCCACATTCAATCGCTGGATGGAAAATAAACAAGACATTAATGACAGTGAGAAAACCGAATACCTCGTCGTTTGGATCTTCATTTGGCATACACAAGGCAGGTAAAAGTCGCTTTCTCAGTTCTAGTTTGTTTTTGACAACATCTAACTCAGAATCTTTCTTGTTAGATGAAGATGTTAATGCCTTCTTTTTAGTAACTTTCTCCTTCTTTGGAAGCATTTTCTCAACTAGGCGTAAAATACTGGCTATTAATGGGTCCTGTGGACAAGAAAACAAATATCAAAGGTAATCTAATAAATGTCCTTACCGTAAACTCTGCGCCTTTCTTTTCCAAAGCACTTTTGAATTTTTCAAAAGTCGGATTTTTCTTAGCCAAATGAATAACAAATTCAGCTGTGAGAGTTGATATGATCAAAAAATCCAAACAATCAACTTACCCAGGACTTTGTCATCTAAACCCAAATGATTTGTTAATTCTGTGCAAACTTTTGAAACTAGAGAGAAGTATTCCAGTTGGCGAAAACCAGAGTCGTCTGATTCGACAACCATTATGGTGTTTGAATTACTAAACTCTGAATAAGAAGTAGGAAATCCACTTAATAAAATCTGGTATAAAACTAAGGTAATCTGCACTAATCATAGAAGTTAAACAAATATGAAGAGATCTTGCTGGGTTTTTGACTCGCCAGTTTAAACACGTGACCCCATGCAAAATAAAACTGGGCTGCATTAACGCCTTATTACCTTATGGGGTTGTGAACCAGATTACATATACAATGATTAAATCTGACACAAGGCATTACATGAATGATATTAAGAGATCATTAAAAAATCCTTTACTAGCCAATAAACTATATACCAACTGCCTAATAATTTCTTGCCAGGTAATGTAGCTTTGACTGAAGAAATACATGGCTAGCCTAACGAAAGATTACAAGAGATATAACTTTTGTCAGATAACCATACATATTTTATAATAAACAAATATTCGCTCTCCAAAAAGACGGTATAAACGAGGGAAAATGTCAATCCTCACTAAAATTAAGACAATGGGAAAAAATTTGGGCGTTTTAAACCCTCGTCGTAAGGGAGTCTAGAAAGACCCTTTACTAATTTCGTTCCCACACGCTGGACACGCTTAAGGGAGTTAGTATCCTTTACCAGACATGGGCTAGCTGCTTGGATACAGTACTTTAAATGTGGTCTAACATATATGGGATATAAAATTCGGAACGTTCCCTCGTCAAAAGATTTGAACGCTCGGTAAAGTGATCATAACGCACGAAAACCTTTGACAGCGGCTGCTTTGCAATGCGTAGTTGCTTTTAAATCATGACTTAATACTACTCCTAAGTCTTTATGCTCTTGAACGCATAGAAGAGGTTTACCCTCAATAGTATAACGGTAACTATTACCATAACCGATGTGCATTAGCACACTTTTCCTAACATTGATTTCTAAGCCCCACTCTCGAGCCCATCTAACTAAATCGTCTAAGTCAGCTTGAAGACCTCCACAGTGTTACTAACTGCAAGGATTAATATAGGTCGATAGACCTCCCATTCCTACAACTGAAGACTGAACAGTTAGAAACAACACAATTCTTAAATTAAAACAATCTTGGAATCGACACTAGAAAATTATGGTTTAACTGCCGACACCAAGAATGCTGCTGTAGACGTAGCGTTACTTTTGAAACTGCGCCGAATGAATTCTAGCTTTAGGTTACTCGAGAATGATGAAATACCTGTTTTTGTTCTATTCTAACATGTTTAAGCTCGTGAATAAATCAACTGAAGATGCAGACGTCAATTTTTTCAGCTGCATCTTCAATTTTTTGGACAGAGGTAAGGAACCTGATTGTTTGGTGGGGTATTTGTATGAGGTGTGGGAGAGAGATTTTTGTCACTAGGAAGCATTATTATATTTTTTGCTCAGAAGAACCCGAGGGACAAAAAAATAGTCAATAGTTGTTATCCAGGAATAACACACAAAGCAGTTTTCCCAATCACTTTCGCATAGAGATGACGGTTAATATATCAGATTTCAGGTTCAGATTTGTGTAGTCAGAACAGAGGGCCTAAGGCCTATGTTATTCCTTTTCTATTATGCTACTGTGAGTGTATAGTCTTCTCTTGAATGAGTCAATTGAAGGTGTGGACACCAGTGCTTCGGGTAACGGGTTCCCAAAACTGATGGCTCGATGTGAAAACTTGTATGCCACGTGTATTTTGTTCGTTCTTGGCCTTTCTACTCGCCTGCTATGTCCTCTGAGATGTCCCGATCTAGTGGGAAGCAAAAGAGAGAATGCGTTAGGTCCAAAATCATTTCTTAGTATTATATACATCAAAATTAGATATCCCCTTAGCCTGCGATAGGACGGAGTAAAGGGGTCTAGCTTTTCAAGCCGCTCTTTGTGTGGTAAACCCCGGAGTTCTGGAATTTTACGAGTAGCTGCCCTCTATACTTTTTCCAGGATACCCGAGTCACCTTTTAAATAGGGGCTTGCAGCATGAACGCAGTTCTCAAGCTTAATTCTCACCAAGGTTTTGTATACTGTAGTGAACACGGTAGTATTTAACTTAGTGAATGTCCGTCTTAAAGCCCAAGGCGTTATAAACCCCTTAGCTGCGACCTCCGTGCAACGAGCCGTGGTCTTGAGATCATGACTCACTATCACCCCAAGATCCTTATGAGACTGGATTATGAGTACAGGCACTTCCTCTATTCTGTACCTATCAACCATTGTTTCCCCAAATCGGATGTAGACACACTTTGCCGCGTTGATAGACATCAGCTTCTCTTTAGACCAGTTAATCACATTATTTAAGTATGCCTGAAGTGCGCATGCATCTGCGTCTCCCGTTATTACTCGTCAGATTTTTACATCGTCAGCGTATAATAACATTGGGGACTGTACTATACTTGGGAGATCAATTATATACAGTATTAAAATTAAGGGACCTAGGACAGAACCTTGAGGTACTTCACTAAGTACGGGTCTTCAGGTGGAGCACTTGGAGTTTACTCTTACTTTCTGTATACGACCTACTAGGAAATCTTTAGGCCGTTTTAAAAGAGGTCCGGCAATACCAAGATATTCTAACTTTAATAGCGGTCTATTTGTTGGCACGTTGTTAAATGCCTTACTAAAGTCTATGTAGACAACATCCACTGGTTTTCCATTGTCTAGAGCCTTTATCCAGGGTGATCTTATCCGCAACGCAACCAGGTAAACTTAATGTATCGCACACTGTCATCTGTGCAGCCCTTTATCCATTGCTCCCTTGCTATAATGAGATTTGTTGTGCAAGATAACCCTTTTTGAAACTATGTTGTTTGCTGTTTAACAAGTTGGCTTCCACAAATCTCATTATGGTCTTTTTGACTATTCTTTCCCGTATCTTAACTACGACACTGATGAGGCTGACAGGTCTGCAGTTCGATGGACGTTGTCCTGCTTTGTGTATTGGAGTGACGATTGCATCCTTTCAGTCCACAGGTAACACACCGTGGCCAATTGACATACTGAATATCACAGTTAGTGGGGCTACGATATATTGTTCAGTTTGTTTCAGGATTTTGGGGTATAGTTCATCTGGTCCTTTTGACTTGTCCATGTCCAAGGTAATAAGAGCCTTAAGTACATCGTCTTGATCAAAGTCCACGGTGAGCAGAAGGTTTTTGACTTTGTATTTGGGTCTGGTCCTTTGTCTAGAAGAAGTTCCTGAGTGAAAACTGCTCCAAAATAGTTAGCCATAGCCTCTGCGTTTTCCCGATCATCCTCCATTATTTCAGATTCACTCCCTTCTTTAATCAGGCTGGGAATCCAATGATGCATCCTTGTTCTGTAATTTATGTACGAGAATAATCTCTTAGGCTACTTGATTGCAGATTATGCCAAATGCATTTCATATTTTCTCTTGGCTTCCGGAATTTTAATTATACACTTATTTCGTATCGACCTGTAGAGTTCCATCGTATTTTCAGCGTTCAAGGCTGATGACAACGCTCCAAAATTTCTTCTTTTGTCTTAGTAAACGTCGAATATCCCGGCCTATCTAGGGATGGCCGTGCTTCTTTTTCTTCTTTGGGACTATCCAAGGTGTGTATGGTTGAGTTACCCGGTTGTATGTCTGCCTGAAATGAGTTCATGCCTTTTCTACTGATGCCCCCTTGTAAAGCATCCAAGTGTCAGCCGACAATGCAGAGTTTATGTCCTCTATGTTCTCACTGGTAATCACATGAGCACCACTCACTGTTAATTATTTTCTTGAAACCTATATAGCAAAAGTCATCTTGCTGCACCACATCATCTAATGTTGCGACATATAAGCTTAGTTGATCCCTACAACTTATAATCACTATATCTCAATTAAATCGTTTTCCCTCTTATACTAAACTGCATACTTGCAGCTGACTTGTATGTGCCATCAGCCGGTGGGTATATATATAAATAAATAGTCTATGGCAAATCAAAACATTGAGTCTCGAGCATGTATTTTACGAATACACTGATGTTTAACTAATTGCTGTTAGCTACCCGTCCGAACTTCACATACTTGTCACTATTCACATGCTAAAACACTTTTTTGATAACTATTCATATGTATTGGTAGTATTACTAAACTTTATCACGGTCAGGTAAAAATGAGGTCGAGAAGATCTCCTCGTAACTGAATAAACAGTATCAAACCAACTGGAAAACTAGTTGGAGTTCTTCTCCACGGAAATACTATTTTCTTTCAGTTAGCCTATTAATGCAAATGCAATCGGAAATCAGCTTAGATTGACAGCGAACGAGCACAGACGTTATGTGACTTCACAATTTAAACTAAAAGTAATACCAATATTAAAATTTCTACAATATTGATTGTTTTTAATATTTCTAAACGCAAAATACTTACTAACTATAAATTATTAACCAACGGCTATTAGTACACATCTTACGGCGGTTTATTAAAATATCCCTACACGGAATAATTTTTTTATTATTATAATCCATTTTTAACCCAAATAACCTTCACCTGAATTTTCATTTCAAGCATGTCAAACATCAAGCTAAACGTGTTAAAATTATCACATGTATTTCCCGACCATATGCTGCCGCCTTCTTTTTGATTTATCTTTCAGCTTATCAATACCGCACTATTAGTAACAACGTACTGTGGGAGAGAACAAACCAGATCCCAGTGGAGGAAGAAATCAGGAAGAAGCGCTGGAAGTGGATAGGACACACATTGAGGAAAGCACCCAACTGCGTCACAAGACAAGCCCTCACATGGAATCCTCAAGGCCGAAGGAGAAGAGGAAGACCAAAGAACACATTATGCCGAGAAGTGGAGATAGACATGAGAAAAATGAACAAGAATTGGCTGGAACTAGAAAAGAAGGCCCAGGACAGAGTGGGTTGGAGAATGCTGGTTGGCGGCCTATGCTCCATTAGGAGTAACAGGCGTAAGTAAGTTATCAATACCGGGAGGATTCTTATTATTTTTGATAACCTCCGGCGCGCGACAATCACACTCAATCTGGTGTCGAACCAACGTCATTTTGATTCTGGTGGGAGAGTAGTTTAGTGGTATTAATTCGAATTGATCGGACGGCATGGCTCGGCCCAGCGGGCGTGGCTTTCTTTGAATGTTGTTATATACCTTTAATTCATACTAAATATATTGTTCTATTTCTAGCTTAAGTGTGTTCTCCATTATATATTGATGGTTGTTACGATGCGATGAGTTGGTGTAGATTATAATGTAAATTCTACGTAAGATCTAATAGATTAGACAGTTACGTCATGACAGACCTACAACTTTAGGATTAGGTCTATTATTAGAGCGGTACCAATATCATAGTAGGCCATAATTCTACAAATCTATGGTGTCAAAAACAGCTATATTACATCCACACAACTAGGTACTCATCTTCCTATATAGCTATTGTGTCGGTAGGTCATGTGGGGCAGGCATTTTCTTTGTAGCTGGAACAATTTCCTGGTCAGGGCGTCGTCCAGAAATATAAGGAATAAATCCAGGGTACTTCACAGATCTCAGATAGGATTGACAATTGTCTGGTCGTAACCTGAAAGCACATTCCTCTATATGGTTCATCACGACTGTGGTCCGGTCATATAACTTCTGGCGATGTTACAACTATAAGTATATCGTCTAAACAAATGGCTACACCTGTAATACCAGTTAATATGGCATCCATTAATTGATGGAATATCGCTGGTGCCGTCTTTACCCCAAAAGACAGTCAATTATACTGAAATAAACATCCATGTGTGCTTGTTGCCAGCGTTCCACAGCACAGAAAGTCGGCCCCTACTTGCAGATAGGCTTCGCCCAGATCTAGTTTTGCAAAGTTGCTTCTACCGTTGAAAATAGTAAAAATATCATCTGGAACTGGCAATGGATGTTGTTCTAGAGCAGCATTTAATTCTATTTGGAAGTTTGCACAGTCCCGCAGTGTACCGTTTGGTATCTTGGTGACTATTATGGGAGGAGCCCGGGTTGAGAATGATAGAACACATTGTTTTTCTAGACGTTTTTCCAGACCTTGAAAAATGCCAAGCACTACAATTCCAGCATCTAGATGGGAGGATTTTAAACTCCTCTTCTGATTTTTCGTGTAATGATGTGGATGTTGGGGTCATGGAACCGGGCTGAACCTTAATAATAGTAATGTATTTCTGCGATGGC